AGCCCCTTAGTGGCCTGGTGTGGCCTCCATCGGCCTCTTGGATTTTTTATCTTTTTTCTATTTGTGCAAGTGTGGTTCTTTTTATAACTTTTAATTATGTATTTATAGTTTTGATTTGATGTAGACTGCCCAGAGTCCCCCATTGTGGGGAGATGGGCGGGGACAAGTTATTAAATAAATAAATAAATAAATGAATGAATGAATGAATGAATGAATGAATGAATGAATGAATGAATGAATAAATGAATTAGGCTGCGTGCTTGCGTGGGAGCCAGTTGTCACAATTATGAGATTAAACAAACTAGCAAAGAACTATGTAGATTGGACCTTAAGTTCAGTCAGCGAGAAGGGTTATGAAGTTGTAAAAAAGAGTAATATATTATATTCATGAATTGATATATTTATAAATTGATATAATTGATATAACATTATATACTATATAATTTAATTCAATTTATAGAATATATGCATTTATGAAACTGATTTCTGAAGAAATACTACAATGCAATAATACTGCAATCCATCCACCACTGCAACTTAGTATTCCTCTATGAACATGCCCAAAAGATTCAGGAAAACACTGAACCAGTTTGAGAAGAGATTTTGGAAACAATGGGCAGCATCACGAACCTAGGAAGTTTGGGGAGGAAGTTCCAGTCCATGAGGAAGAATTAAAAATTCACTGTTACTATAGCAATGAATGCTGGATAGTCAAATAGTGACTCTTTTAATAGTTTTGAATACATATTGATTTTAGCAAGTTCTGTATAACTATTGACCTGCCAGACCAGGAATCATTTAACAATCATGAAGGTCTCAATAAAAATTTGCCTATTATTTGCCTATCTGGGACCATTAAAAGAGTCCTGGTGCAAAACATTTCTTTTATATTTGAGAATACTTTTAAAAGTAAAATGTTATGGCTGTTGTATGGAGTTTTTTCAATTGCCTTAATTATGAAGTGGAATATCCTGCCTGCTTCTGTCCATCTGCACTTGGCCTGGCTTCTCACACTTTAATTCAATCTCAAGAAATACATGAAGAAGAAACTTATCCTAGAAGGCCTTTTCAGGTCAGGAAGAATGGGCATCCAGGGAAGTTCTAGGGTAGGGTGAAAAAGTATGGCCTACATATGGATCATTAATGCCCTGGGATGGCTTCTAGAGTCCTTCATCTCTTTTGACTTTTTTTTTTTTTCATTTTGAGAAAGTTTAGGGACATTTGAGAGGCAAAGTTTTTCCTTTTAAGAACTCCAACTTACCCCCTGCTCAAATTGGTGTGCTCCTCCCTACAAAGCCCAGCATGACTGCCAAGCCATTGGAACTTGCACAGCCTTGCTGCATAGCAGTGTTTCTCAACCGTGGCAACTTTAGGATATGTGGACTTCAGCTCCCAGAATTCCCCAGCTGGGGAATTCTGGGAGTTGAAGTCCATCTCTCTTAAAATTGCTAAGGTTGAGAAACACTGCTGTAGAGTAATGGAGAGATAAGTAACAAAAAACTGATAGTACCCACCTCCTCAACTCATAGTGATAAGGTAGATTCAGGCATGTGCCATCAAAAGAAACTCGAAAGCAAATTTTTCAAACTTGGCAACTGCTGACCAGGGAATTCTGGGAGTTGAAGTCCACACATCTTAAAACTGCCAAGTTTGAATAACACTGCTCTAAAGCATCCTGTGAATGAGGTAGAAATACAAAAACTTCTTTTACAAGGAAAAAAGAACTTCCAGGAAACTGGAAGAGTTTGGCACAGTATTAAACACAAAATACCATTTAGTTCTTCTTCCCAAAGACATTTTTCATACATTTCCATGGTACCATCTGTCATTTCTTTTTCCTCATCTAAGCCTTGGTGTGTTCTCTGGTCTCTATAAATGGATGATAATCCTACTTTGCTTACTTTCTTTGTTTGCAGGGAATTACTGATTGGTGGGTCATCAGCTATTGAAGATGGGTCAAAGAAGATACATTTGGTTTGGTCTCAGAATATGAAAAAGACAGATCCTCTCAACAAAGCCAATACAGGCCAGATTTGTACTAGTCCCAAAGCACACGTATTTGATTTTAATGGCCCATACATATATTCCTCTTCAGAGTCCTTTGTACCTACTGTTCAGCAAGATTTGAAAGTTACTCCTTCAGAAACAAAGGAACCACTAGAGTCTCTGCAGTATATGGGATTGCCACCTTTGTCTCTTCAGCAACAGCCGGTAGGGAAAAATGAAAATACTTTGTCTAATGTCCATCAGCAGATGGAAGAGAAGCTTCTGTTTCCTACAGGACAAGAAGCATCTCAAATCCAGGAGACAAGTGGACAGTTGGAGAAAGGGGAAACTGAAGGATGGAGGCCAATGTGTCTTTCCAGCTCAAATAGCCACAGTCAAAATTTGCCATTAGACTACATTGCCACAGTAGATCTATCAATAAGCAAAGAAAAGGGATGTTTATTGCCATTACCTGTGTTGACCTCAGAGGAAGGGATGCTTCCTTGTGCTAATACAGCAACAGTTGCTGCACAGTTGCCCAAAACTATTGAAAATCTCTCAAATTCAGAGTTATGCCAGAAGACGTCAAAACCGGTCCTCCCAGTTATGGATAAAGGTATTGGTGACCTCTCAGCAATATCCCAGGAAGAATCTAATGACTATGTTATGAACTTTTCTGCTATCTCAGGTTCTGTGTCAAAGGATGGACTTGCTTTTGCCGTGGAGGAGCCTAAGCAGGAAATTCTTATATTCAGTCTTGGCAGCAGCAGTCCAGTTTTCTTATACCAAGAGGGTGAATACTGCTTCTTTCCTGGCTCCAAGCCCACCAAGGAAGACAGTAAGGGTGAAGAAGCACCTGTGGGACACCAATCTCCAGAAAACTTTCCAAAAGTCACCAAATCCCCTTGGGAGACAAAATCTCTCGACAGCAAGCTACAGGTCACCTCTCAGGTGTGCCAAGATTTGTGAAAACGTGTGCCTCAGTAAAAGCTCTCTAGCTCTTGAATACATAATCTTGCTCTCTTTTGTGCGATGTGAGGGTTGCTTTTCACCTAATCAGAAGAAAACAAGCTGATATCAAATATGTCCACTGCCAAAGCCAGAGAGAGAAGGAAACCAGGGAGGTCCATCCAACCTACTGCATAGTTGAGGCAGGAGAAAGAAGTGCAAGTATGAACTTTTACATAGCCATAAGTATGATTTGTTTTTGATACATAGCAGTTGCTGGATTTCTTTCATAATGGCCTCTTTTCTTTTCAACAGTACAACTCTTATTAGAAGAGAAATGGTTCAAATCTAGCCTGCTGGGCAGAAGTCAATAATTATTGTCTTGTACAATGAATTTTGTTAATGAAAACTTTACCCTGAAAAAAAAAATGCTTCAGTATGGAAAACCTTATTGCAAAGGCAATATTTTTGGCATTAATGCTTTGTTTTCATACTAATTCCATATCTGCCAGTAAAAGTTGGACTTTCCTATGCAGATATCAGCATGTGTTTGGACTGATTATGTAGGAAGGTGCCTTTGAATAGGTCAAACAAATGTATCAACTACCCCAGAATTATCCAATCCTTTTTATGAATTTTTACATGCAGTTAAAAAGAAGCCTGTATCTTCTGCAGAACATTTTTACAAAGCTTTCATCTGTTACATGACTAATTAAGAGTTACCTTTAAATTGGACCCATGAGCAATACCTCTGGTTGCCTCTTGAAATTAGCAAATAGTTATGTAATTCTGTACTTTGAAAACTTTATATGCTGATTTGTGTGATCAAGTCTCTATAAAATGTCAGTTGCAGGGCAAACAGATTTTCCCCATTCATCTGAACGAACTTACTTGTAGCTTTATCAATATAGATAAGTACACAGAAGGACAGAGACTGCAATGAGATTTATTTCACTGCTAGGGAGAGGCAGATAACTTTCACCAAGGGCTCATATGCCTCTCTTATGCCTTTTTAGGATTTGCCGCCTTTGTTCTTCTCCCCATATTTTTGCTCCAAAGCTTTCTGCAGGTTAAGATTTAGGGCATTTTTCTGGAACCATCTCCCTGTTAAGATACAAAATAACAGCAGCAACAATCTTTGTCATCACCATCAAAAATGATAATAAAAAGTTGTTGGACAAGCTACAAATTCAAGAAGTTATGAAATTTTCTACAGAATTTTTTTAATCTAAAAAAAACCTGTGCTGATTCAGAATCATTGCTGGGCTGGACTTTTAACAGAGATTGGATTTTTACTGAGCTCCACAACCTTAACTTTTTGGAGAGGCTGGAAAAGAGCCACTAATGAAAAAGGAACTGCAAAATTATAAAAGGACAGACACTGTAGTGAAATTATGTCAGAATCATTGAAAGGAAATACTGTAGAGAAGTTCACAGAAATGATTTTAAATCTGTTCCTGGGCATATAGTTTGAAGTTTGTAAGCTAGGAACTGGATGAAATCTAAATGTTTAGACTGTAATAATACTGAGGATTTATACATAATCCCTCCATAACATTGATTGTAGGATAAGCTAAACACATCTCCTTCTAGTTTTCCTTTGTGGTTCCTAGGCCTCCTTACCTAGATCATCAGTCTTCCTTCCATGCCAACGTTTGGGGTCCCGCACAGCCCTCTTTATTACATCTGGAGTATAAGAATCCTTCATCAAGCTTTTGGTTTCTAATGGTCCTCCTACAGAAAGAATATTTGAAAAATATTCATTTCTGCTATAGTCATTTTTGCGCTGAATCAAAGGAATGGACAGAGATGAGGACAGACAGGAAAAGGTTAGTGATGTCAGAGATTTTAAACAGTGACAGGTTTCTATAACTGATACAGACTATAATTTGGTCTTGGGTTCAAATCTTTTGTTGGGGGAAATACTTTTTCATGTGGTCATCTGCAGATTATTCAAACTACAGAAAGGAAAGGCAACTTCAGTGTTTTGGATAACGGTGCCCATTGTCCCTTGCCACTGATGCAGTGGATGGCACTAACAGAAGTCTGCAGGGTACCGTGTTACTAACTCCCAGACTACATTGAATGTGAGAGTTTGATCCTACAAGCAGAAACATTAAAAACAAAACAACTGTTAGCTTGTGAGAATAATTTCTCCTAAAGGAGAAAAGATCCCTTACAGTACCAACACCAAATCAAGCTGCTGTTATGGCCAAAATAGGAAGCATGGAGATCTGTCTAACCCACCTTGGAAAATGTTGGATCTCAGATTATAACCCAGTTCATAATAATCAGCATAAGGTGAAGCTGCCATGGGATTCTCAAGGGGTTTGAATGGCCAGTCACTGAGTCTTTTCTGTCCTTGGATCAGTCCAGCTTCACAAAGAGCACGTCGTGCCTGGAATATACATATGCGAAATGATACTTTTAGTCTCTACCTTGCGTCCCAAGGTACTTGCCATCACCACATACGTTTCAGCCTACCTGGAGCACTAGTGGCACCTTCCACTCCTCAGATAATTAATTAATCAAATTTGGCCAGAAGGAGGCTTTTTGTGTTTTGGATTTGAGTCAATAAAAAGATCATAACCACTATTTGGACAGCAGTATATTTTTATGGGTTTTTCCCCTTAAAAATCAAGATCAATAAACAAAAGTCAACTTTACTTAAATGATAAATCAGAGCTGGCATGTATATACACTACTGTATATTGTGGTGACTTCATTGGCTATCAATAGATTTCAGGGTACAAGATATTGCTTGTTATCTTTAAAGCCCTACCTGACTCTGCTCCAATAGGGCCACCTTCTCCAGATACAAGTACCCCATTTCGTGCATTCATCCCAGCTGGGAATCTTATCCTTAGTGTGTGAAAAGTTAGGTTGGTGAAGGCCTAGGGCTGGTGCTTCTCTGTGATGGCCCTTTCCTTATCGAATAGCCACCCCATGGAAGCTCAACTGTTACCAAATCCGACATTGTTTCATAAAACGATTAAAACTGAGCTCTTAAAGCAATTTGAACTTCTTTGGAGGGCTTTTGAGAGCAAATGCCTCTTGATATTGGTGGGATCCTATGATTGCTGTGATCTGAAATGGATATGCTTTTATTGAACTGTTTTGCCTAGCTGATTGCTATATTTATTTATTCATTCTATTTTTTATTATGTATTTTTCTGCTTTGTTGTAAAGCACTGTGAATTGCAAGATTTGGTGACATATAGATTTAACAAATCAATAAATATGTGTGACATTGGCCTTGTGTCTTTTCAGTTATATAACTGGAGAGGTATATATGTTTCTTTAAACCATATTGCTCATGATGTAAATGAAGTCTTGCTTTTCAACTCTGGCTAAATAATATTTAGCACTATGCTGTAGTCACACAAATTCCTTAGAACATAATATTACACATGTCTCCTCAGAAGACATTCCTATAAAATTCAAGAGGTCTTGTTCAGATAAGCATCACTGAAGTAATCATAATTTTCCAGGTGAAAATAGAAATAAAAAAGTCAAGCATAATCTTTCTTAGTTTGATACCAGTAGTTAAACTAGTTGGAGATGATGGAAAGTATAGGTCAACATATTTGGAAGACACCAGGAAGACTGCCCTAACTGGAGAATGTGTTCCTAAAAGCAGATTTCTAAGCTGTAGTTTAAAAAAGTTAAAGCATATATTTTACCTAACATGCAAACTACAGTGATATTTTTATAAATAGAATATAATGCATGTGAATCTTGAAATCAGACTTGCAAAGAAATATGATGTATAAAATATAGAATCACTTGGCTGTCTTTTATTCCTTTTTCTGTAAATATTTTCTGATCTAACGTAACAAGTGTCATAGCCTAATTTCAGGTGTGATTTTTGAACTTTTAAAGCCTCAGGAGTGTATCAAGCTTTTTCTGAACCATGCAGTTCTATGGGCCAGTTTGGGAGTTTCCAAAAGTAAATCCTCCAAACTGGAAACTGTTTGGGGGTTTCTGAACTGCCTTTTGGATGAAACAAGCCAGGTGGGGGCTGTACTGTGCTCCAAATCCCTTCCAGTTCATAGGATTTAATTCTAGAGACCCCAAAACCAGCAAGCACGCCACCCCCAAACAACATGGTCCTGAGAAGGTTTAGCATGGTCAGGAAGGAAATGGAATGTTCCAAAGTTCTCTCTCAGATTAACACACTTTACATATATGCTAACCATGTTCAGTGCAAGAATGTCTGCATCACATTTAACCATTGCTTTGTTTATAGCTGTTTATCACTGTTTATAGCTAACTTTGACTTTTAACTCTTCTTTCACCATTTTCTTCTCCCTCTTTTCTCCTACCCTTGCCAACCACTGCGTGCATATATATGATACTCCATTATCTGCACTATATTTTATGCATCTGATGATGGGCAGTGATTCATGAAAACTTGTGTGATAGAAGAATTATTACTCTTTAGATGACACAAGATTTTGGTGCTCTTAGAAGCTTCCTCCATGTGAGCAGTGTGTGAGTTGAAATCCAAAACCTCTAGAGGACACCAGGTATGGGTCATCACGCCTCCCAATTATAATGATTTTGTTTACCTGCTCCTCTGATATCAGCTTCTCCACTACTGTGGTGCCATATTTGGCTTTGATGTTGGTAGGCACTAGACTTTTCTTTTCCTGAAGGGGCTTCCCTTCCGCTTTAACATCTTGTGTATTTGATGCCAAGGAGCCTTTGGCACTCAAAGCAGTCTTGGCTTCTTTGATGTCTTCACAGCTGCTCTTTATACTTTTTCGCGGGGAGCTGAGCAACTCAGTGCCTACAGATTGATACAGTCTGCCTGCTGATTCATCTGAATTAAACACGTTGGCTTCTGCTTCTTCTTGGATAGGCTTGGCAAATTCTTGGGAACTTGCAGGCCTTCCCTTCTGGTGATTTCCCATAGAAGTTGTGCCGTCTAAGCTGTCCCTTCTCCCAACAGATGTTTTAGATGATCCGTGGTGAATATACTGGACAGAGGGAGTTTTGGAACTGTGGTTCTGTCTATTGTGGTATTTTGCTGGGAAGTGCTGGGTGGAAGGAGATGCTTGACGGATAACTTGGGATTCATATCTTATTTTACCCTCTTCTGAACTCTTGGAGATGTCCCAAGAATTTTTACTGGAGCTCCTTGAGGGAGGTGTTTTGTTGGATGGCACCCCAGCCATGTTATATGTGACCTGCTCCTTGTTTCTATATGCAGGCTTTTCTGGAAGACAGAAAATAAAATATTGGAGGTATTTGCATATCAGAAGTAAGTCCAGGTGACAGCTTCCCAGCCTGCTAGTCGTGCCCTTTTCTCTGATACTTACTTCTATTCCTCCCATCTCAATTTTCCAGTATTCTCTCCTAACTATCACTTTACATTCTAGATTTTCCCATCTGACTCCTTTCTAGGTGGGTTGGATGACAATTCCCAAGTTATTACATCTATCATTGTAGTAACTGAAGAGTATTAAAGTTGCAGTCTACAACACAGGTTAGAGAAACGTTACTGCCTTCTTTTTCTGATTTTTTTCTGAAAAGATGTTCAGTAGTACATCTGTTAGGTGACATACAGAGTAATAAACAAGAACTTCATTTAAATAATGCCCTATTTGTGTATGATGTTCAGCCATCAAGGATCTTCCAGAGAGGTACTTTGGGGATTTGCATAGTCCACTTTTTATGGATTATGCAAAACAAAGCAAAATAAAGATGTAGTTTTCTGTCATGGGGCCCCTTCACAGGAATCGCTTGGATGACAACTGAAAGTAAAACTGCCAGTATGGTATAATGTCCTTATATAAATCTATGGTAAAATCAGACTTGAGCACTATTAATATTTATGGTCACCATAACTGAAAGAAATATATTATAGAACTTTGAAAGGCACAAAAACCCAAAACTGACCGAACAAAAAACAGTGAGCTGAAATGATGGAGTGAAGATTATATGAAGAAAGAGTACACCATTTAGGCTTTTTAGCGTGAAAAAAAATGTGGGCAAGGTGAGAAATGATGGAGGAATAGTAAAGTCATGCGTGATTTTGAAAAAGTCAATAAAGAGTGTTTTTTCCCCCTCTCATATTAGCACTTAAGTTCATCTAAAATGAAATGTTCCATATTGGTGAATATCAAGGCTTCAGTTGCTTCTGGTAGTGTCTTGTGGAACCGATTCTTCTCCACCTCATGGAGAAGCCCCATGGCTATGAAGTTCACCAGACCCTCAACTCCCATAGCCATTTTCATTTTTCCTTTAATGAAGGAAGATCAATGAGATGACTGGTCTCCCCAAAGACATTGAAGGTACATCCCAGGATCTACTGCACAAACATTTATACAGGTTGTGGCACCATGGAGGAAAAAAATCCCAAGCCTGCTACCTGGTGATTGGTGGCTTCATATGCATGGCTTTATCAGCAGACAGCTGTGCACAGCAAACACACTCAGGTTGTACTGTAAGGTCATGTTTATAAGATGCAAGGACAAGCCTATAAGATGCAAACTTATCAAAATGTCACAATTTAAATTGGACCCAAGTCTTCAAGGAGCCTTGAGTCTGAGAACTCTCTAAACGTCACATCTAGCCTTGGCCAAAGGATGAATTTGCAGGGACACTTGCCAGGTTTGAACTAATAATTTGAAGTCAGCCATCCTCCAGATTTATGGGAACATAACTTCCAGAATTCCTGCATGGGTAGGCAAGAAATTCTAACAATTACAATCCAACATGTCTGGAGGTTGTGGTAGGTTGGTGTGATGGTCACTTCTTTTGCTTTTCCTTAGTTTGACAAAAGATTGATCAGACATTAGCAAATAGCTCATAGAATCTAGGGATCTATATCAGTCTTCACTAACCAGTAGAGAAAATAGGTTTCCCATCAATTAAATTTCCTACCTGTTGGACAATAGGCCATTCTGGTTACATGATATGTGCTGGCAGGCATTGGGAAGGCCGTGTCCATGGGCACCTGTTACCCCCCCAAAGGAAAAAAAAAGGTATGGATTATTTACCTGTAAAATACTTGTAAGTTGCAGCACAGATAAGGATCTGAGATTGTGCATGGTTTGTTTAACCCTAAATAGCAAAATCATGGTTTAATAAAAATGAAAACCAATGAAATTTGTAATTCACTCTTAATATATTACCTGATTTTCTATAGACATTTGAACATTAAATTTTATTGGATGCAACTACTGTTGCATTTTATAATTGTATTACATTAAATTATAGGGTGCTTTTATGTAATTTTAAAGGTATTACTAAGTACACTGAATACGCTGTATTTATGATTAAATAAAAGAAACACACTTTAATATGTAATCTCTTTTAGTGTTCCAAGTAAACCAGTCAAAGCAGTGGGTAGAAGGGCAGGTCCTGAAAATGCATTCCTATGGCTTATAGATGATGAACTGAAGAAAACGTTGTCATGAAGTAAGACTGAAAAGCTTTCTACAGTTGCCTCCCTTTTAAAAGCCATTATTTCAAGAGTT